GTCCCGCCCTTAGCTGAGGAGCTATTGGTGTTTGATGGCTGCTGGGTAAGAAAGTGTCAGTTTTCTTCAATGGAGTGACATCTGGTATATCAACCACATTCCACACAGACTCTGTGCCCAGGGGTAGTTGGGAAACACAACCTGGATCTGAATTTTTTAAGAGAGAGAATAAAAAATTGGGGTAGGAAGGTGGGGGTCTTTGAGGAGTTGGGAATATGTACACACACATATACATATAAATTGTTCAGAATCCTCAAAGAATAAAATTTTTTAAAAATGGAAAGTATAGCTTAAAGTAAGAGTAACAAAGATAGCTGTCATGGACAGGATAATGAGGGAGGAGAGGCAGAGGAAAAGGAGTCTTCAGAGAAATGCTGCAAACAAAGGAAAATATCTGACCTTTATATCTTTTCAAGGGATAACAGAAATTCTATATCATATAATGCAGTCTGAGATCGCCTATGTGACAATGAGCATGGAGGAGCGAGGTACTGCGTTGGACCATAAATTAGAGGCTATAAAATCAAAGCACAGGTAGCTTTTGAACTCAGTTTCAAAGAGCTTGAGAAGGGGATACAGCCTTATTTCTGTGTCTGTGAGAGTGGCACGTTAAGAGCTTTCTCTGGAGCACAGTGAGTTCAGTATGCTGGTGCAGACCTCATGAGGAAATGAGATAGAGGAGGCGAGCAGCCACAGGTTGCAAGTAGCTGGTAGTGAGAGTTCAAGAGAAGAACGCAGTCACTGGCAGGGCTGGCACGATGGTGAGTTTGCTTCCTGGCGGTAGAGAAGAATAAGAGTATACAGCTGAATAAGCCCTGTCATGTGGCAGAAAGCCAGACGAGGAAAGGTTCACAGAAAAGAAAATGAAGCGGGGGTGGGGTGGGGGGGAAGGGTCTATCCCTCTGTGTGAAACCAAGCAGTAACGGCTTGAGACAGAGCTGCAGTCTGAAGTGCTGTGGCTCTTACAGCTCAGCAGGCATCATTCAGTCCAGGCAGATCACTTACTCCATTTTTGCAACAGCTTCGTTCTCCAGGCATGGAGCAAACACGGCTTCTTGGCAGCGAGCTGACTTCGCAATAGCTGTTGGGCACACCTGCCATGTGTTTGGGGAAAGTAATTGAATTGGCACTCATCTTCCTTCTAGAAGGATGAGTCTCACTGCTTAAAATGTTGCCTCGTCATTTGCCTTTGAATCAGAATTGATGATCTGAACAAAATTCTTGATTGTAGGCATCAAAAGAACATTCTAGCATTAAGAAGATGAGATCTACAGAGCTAGTGTATTCTGGGCCTCTCTCATTTCAGGCAGTGCTACCATCAATGGAAAAACACTTTTGCTGTAACAGGGCCATTACTACCTGACAGTCTATTACCCTTTTCATTGCCGCCTGCAGCAGGAACTTCTGTCTCAACTCTAGTTTGATCTCTGACCTTCCCTAGGTTGGGTAGGGAAGCTGGGAAGAGGGAGTTGTTATCCTTTTAACTCTGGACATGCTTGCAAGCTCCCCTCTCCAAGCAGCAGCGTCCCGCCTTTCCCATTTTCTTTGTTTTTTCTTCCACAGCTGTTTAATTATATGCTACTCTTCTCTGACCTTCTGTAGTTTTTCCTATATTCTTGTCGAATTGTGGACTTTGAATAACAAAACCGGTCAATTAAATGGGTCAGCGGTTTCACGGCCTGGTAATTTCACAGCTAGCTTGATTCCTCACAGGCATGACATAAAATAAACCTACAGAACTACCAACGCTCCACAACATGATATAGCTCCTCACTGGAAGCTGGAGTTGAGGAAAAAAAAAAAGAGTTCAAACTAAGAATCAATAGTCAAGGAATAGGGGCTCTGAAACTCTTTTCTACTGTGCTCTGAAGGATGGGCCTTGCTCCCTCGGGTCACAAATGGATAAGGGCAGGAAGCATCCCCTCAGAGGAGTTTTAAAAACCTTCTCTGAACTGTTCTGGCATGGCCCCTGCTGCCCTTAGTACTGACCCCAGTGTTTCTACCCTGGGAGGCAGGAAGCCTCTGCTTAAGTAGGAGCATGGGGAGAGGGTGGGGAGAGAGAGTCCCACTCCAGGCAGAGTAGCATACTCAGTAATTGGGATCTCATATAACCCCTAGAGGCCAATGTGTTGAAGTCTAAGTCTCTTGGCTGGTGCTGTTGGGAAATGGTAGCTGGAGAGGTCAAGTGGGAGACCCTCAGGTGTTTGGACACAAGCTCTTAAAGGGTATTATGGGGCCTCCTTCCCTCCCCTCCTTTGCTTTCTGGCCCTGAGGCTTTTCTTCTTTACACATCTTAATCATACTGTGCTATCCTCAACTCAGGCCTGGGCAACAGTACAGCTAGTCATTCATCGGGACCTCTGGAACCTTGAGCCCAGGGCAACCTTAGGGGTGTGTGTGTGTGTGTGTGTGTGTGTGTGTTATATGCATGAGTATGTATGTGTTCACGGGGGCCCTAGGTACCTATGTACATGTCTGTGTGAGTGCACGGACATGTGGGGAGACCAGAGGTCAGCATCGAGTATCCACCTCTGTCACTCTCCGCCATACCTTCGTGGACCAGGTCTCTCACTGGACCTGGAACCCATCCACTGGATAGACTGATTGGCCAGGGAACTCCAGGGATTCGCATGCCTTTGCCCAGGAGGCTTACAAAAAGTGTGCCTCCAAGTTCAGCTTTTACATGGCCCCCTGGGGACTGGACTCAGGTCCTCTTGGTGTGCAGCAAGCATTTTATCCACTGAGCTGTCTTCCTACTCTCCGTCTGTGCTCTATGTAAGCTAGTTATCTGAGGTATTTTGTTATGCTGATGCAAACACTACATATTAATCAGATATCATTACCATACCACACAGAAGCCCATGGCTTAGATTTTTTCCCCCCTCATAATTCTAGAGGTTACAAAGGCCAAGGCCAAGATGCCAGCAAGGTCTGTGTCTTGTGAGAGTTATCTTCTGGCTTGCAGACATTCACCTGTTCATGGCTCACAAGAACCTTATTTGGTACATGTGATTAGAAAGGAGTGAAGGGAGGGAGCGGGAAAGCCCCAATTTTCCTCAGCCAGTTCATCACATAGCTAGGGGTGAGTGAGTAAGCCTATTGTCTAAGCATAAAAGACAGCAAGGCACATTCTAATGGCTCAGCACACAGAAGTCTCAATCCAGCTTTGCCACTTACTAACCCTAGAACTATGTAGAGCTATGAGCTCAGAAAATGATGGCAGTCTGGTTGGAATTTCAAGCCAAGCCCAAGAGAAGGATTTGGAGGTGAAGCAATGGAGGTTGAATTTGAAATGTCAAGCAGGCGATGGTGACAGGAGTGGTAACAAGATGTCCAGTAGAGAAATGACCTAATGATCTAACTTTAAAATGACTTGAGATTGTGGAGACTCAGTCTGGCCTTACGGAGGCTGCTGGGCATGTTTGGGTATTGGAGATCGAAGTTGCATGCGTGGTTTGAAGGCTTTTGGAAGAATTAGACTCAGATGCCCAGAGGCCATAGAACTGGAAGGCAAAGGCCTCCTCAGCGTTAGAGGGGGAATATCACGAAGAGGTTGCCGGGGAGCCCATGGAGGAGGGTAAAGGTTAACCGTCCGTGCTGATTGGAAGATTCATAAGCATTGGCTAAAGCCTATCAGGTCTATTTGGTTCTGCCAAGTGCAGAGGGGCTAAGGGTGAATGAAAGTGGCGTTTTGAGTGAGAATGACCTCCATAGGCGCATGTGTTTAAAGGCTTAACCATTGCTTGGTGGATCACTTGAAAAGGGTCTACCAAGGTGTGCCCTTGTTGGAGGATGTGTGTCACTCGGAGCGGGCTTTGAGGATTTAAAAGCCCACACCAAGCCCAGTCTCTCTCTTTCTCTCTCTTTCTCTCTCTTTCTCTCTCTCTCTCTCTCTCTCTCTCTCATGCCCCCAGTTCTGGGGAAGTTCTCAGCTATTTGCTCCAGCACCACTCCTATCAGCTCCCCCACCATGATGCTCATGAACTAGTCCTCTAAGTCTATAATCAAGCCCCAGTTAAATGACTTCCTTTATAAGAGTTTCCCTGGCTATGCTGTCTCTTCACAGCAACTGAACAGTTTTTTACTGGGGCAGTAACCAAGCAGACTTTGTAGCTCTGCCAGTAGCACCATCTCCACAGGTCTGGTGGACCCTAGTGGAGTCCCAGGGAAAAGGCATCCAGGGCTTTCAGTCGGGTCCATGGCTGCCTGACTGAAGCCCTCTCTGGCAGGTGTGCGTGGTCCACCTTTCCAGGATCTCACATCTAAATAGCTTATCTATGCTATGGCCTCCTGAATAATTGTCTTGCACAGCACTCTAGAGCCTCCTGCTCTGCATCTGTTTGGATACAGGGGAGGGCTGACAAGGAATGAGATTTAGGCAGGAGCAGCCAGGACAAAGGAGCATTCCTATGGAAAGGTGAGATTGTAAGAGGAACACTGGGTCTGGGAGGTGATGGCTTCAGATGCATTTTGAATATGTTGAATGGGAGAATAGTGAGTACCAGGAGCACAAGCTACAGACAAAGAGATGCTTAGAAGAGATGACAGAGCCCTGGGCTGTGGAGACACCAACACAGAAGGCTTCCAAGGGCCACGTAGTAGCTAGTTTCCCATGGGCATGGGAAGAGGAAACAAAAATCTTGAGATCCTGGTATTGGGGATTAGGACTCTGAAAGGAGGTTGAAGAGAGCAGCTTGGGAAATGGGAAGAGCATAGGGTGATGGAGAACTGATGAGCCTTGGGTTGGGGGAGGGATCTTTTTGGTGGATAGTCCTGTGATGGGCGGTGTAGAGCAGCACCTTGCACCATATGGTGACCTCTCTGTGACCCTGCGAAACAGAGTATCTGTTATGTTGTGGAGGCTGACGCTACGTGTTGGCGTAGCTTTGCCTCTTGTGTTGTGTGGGTTTTACATGACCTTTCCTGGGTGGAACAGGTTGAAGTTGGTCTGAAAGACAACTTCCAAGTGTCTCACCTCCCTCTACTCTCCTTCCTTCCAGGTGCTGTTGTCTGGACTCATTGGTGTTGTCTCCTGGAAGAGGCCTCTGTCACTTGTGGTAAGTGGTCCCCGGAGCTCCAAGTGACCTTGGACAGTACTCTGGCTGCAGAGGAGTAAATGGCAGAGGCGGTGGCAGCTAGCGTGTGGCTGTTGACAGGAGGTGGTGGGTAGTGTCGGCTAATTGCTGATGGACTCCCAGCATTGGCATGCTCTACTTCCCAGCATGCTCCTTTAGTGATTCCTAAGACAATTCTGTCAACGAACTTGATCTGTTCCCTTTGCTCTAGTGACAGCTCTTGAAGACAGAGAACAAAGACAGTTTGAAAGTCTTTGAAAGGATGCTGATGCTTTTTCCAGACACTAAGATCTGTGTGTGCATGTGCAAATACTTACATGAAAGTGTAGGGACAACACACCTTCTACCAGAGGTCAAGAAATGTTAGTTCTTTTGTGCACTTATAAACTGCATTGGTAAAGTAAAGATTCTTTCTTGAGTAGAACCATTCCTGGGCAGGGTACGGAGGTGTGGACCACCAGGAGTGGGGACGGATGATGGGTTTTCCCTCTGAGAAGTACCCCAAGCATCTGCGTGTGTATTGATCTGCAGCCTGGTCTTCTTCATGTGTGCATTAGGATATTGATGTGACTGTGTCAGGACTAGAAGAGGAACTTTGATGGGCTCTGAACAAGGCAGTGTGGTTGTGTTCTCCTTTTGTATTAATCAATTATTTAAGATCTTGTCTTAAGTGATAGGACTTGGAGATAATGATGTGTGCTAATTATTAATGGAAATGGGGGCGGGGCGGAAACAAATGTGTTTCTGAAAGATACTTCCTTCGTGAATGTGACAGTCATATCCTGAAATGGTGTCAGAGGAGATAGTGGCTTGGATTTGGTTGAGTCTCCTCTTGTGTAGTTCAGCTCACAGAAGAGATTTCCTCTCTCTCTCTCTCTCTCTCTCTCTCTCTCTTTTTAAATATAGAAAATTTCAAATGTGCAGAAAAGTGGAGAGAAAGACTGGCATAGTGAGTCCTGGTATACCCTCCACCCAGCTTCAACAACAAAAAGAACTCCACCTGGTTGTTCTTGTTTCATATATCCCTTATATCCCACCCCAACCCTTCTCGCTTTTGGGTGGGTGACCTTATGGCAAATCCAGCATGGGGATGGAGAAGCTGGTTTTGTGAGGAATGGTTTGGCAGTACACACACTGGCTGGGGACCAGCCATAACTTCTGAGCTGTCCTTAGCAACACGGAGACAGTCTGTTCCATTATTCCTGAATACCCTCACAGGACCGACAGATTAAGACCTTTGATGCCAGCCATCTAACAAAAGAAAACTGTATTCCTTAGGATGGATATAGAAAGATATAGCCTTAGTCACCAGGTCAACCCCTTGCTCCACTTCCTGTCCTGGGCCCAGGATGGAGATCCTCGTGTGGTGGCCAGCACCCAGGTGCCTGAGAAATGCCTTATGGATGTGGCTCAGGTGTATCCTGGAAAAGCTGGAAGAGAGGTTTTGGAGCCATGTGCAGGGAGGAGGGGATGGCAGCTGGGCCTGTAGAGGCATTCTTCCAACTGCTTGTTCCTGAGTCCTGCTGGGTGATTGGTGTAGGACCAGCTGCTCTCTGGAAGGTGCTCACATTCACCTTGCTATGATTGATCTCCTCCCAGGCCCCAGCTGAGGATGAAGGGCTTCACTAGGGAAATGCTAACCATCGTGCCAATCCTCAGATTTGTAGTGTCTTTGTGCAGGGCAGGTTTACTCCTATTGGTTCTCCAGGGCAGACGCTGCTGTCAGCAGATACTTTTTCCACAGAAGGTTCAGAGATCTTAACATCTGTGGTCCCCCTATTCCCTATGCCTCTGGAGTCTGTGGGATTCAGTGAGGAGGTGGGCCTTGGCCTAACAGTGATGCACATCTCACAGGAGGAACTTGTCACCATATGCTGCGTGTCTGAACAGACATTTCTCAGAGGCAGCTACACATTGTGGAGGGAGGGGAGTTTTGCTGGGTAGGTAGCTGTCTCTCCCATAAGCATGTTCTTTAGTTTGTGTAGAACCAATGGATACAGAGACCCAACTCTCCATTCCTAAATATCTGCGTATCAGTCAGGAGTCCCTTAGTCTGCAGGCTAGAGCCTCAGGGTAGAATGAGTGTCACTTGAGTCTGAAAGGAGGTCCCTTCTCTTTGGAGGAAGTCATCCTTCTCATGAAAACATCATAGCAACATCCAAACTAGCATTCCACCAAGTATCTGGCTGGGAGTTATATACTTGCCACGGTAACACATGAAAGGAGCTGTCACCCAGGATTCTTAGGTGAGTGATCCCAAATGCTCTCTCTCTGGTAACACCAGTGAAATAATACGGGTAATGACGGTGGCCATTGGTTGAGTGTAGTGTGTACACTTCTCCTCCCAGTAGACAGTAAGAGTCAGCTTTGTATTTTAGAAGAGAAGTGGTAGCCCCCAGGCTTTAACAAAAGCCACCTTAGCCTTGAACCCAAGACCTTGACTCCAAAATCGGCCTTTTCTCCATTCAGCCCACCATGGGTCTCATAGACATTCCCTTCCGCATGGTGTCTGTCCTCTAACCACACATCTTTTGACTTGTTCTCCTCTGATCCTGCCACACCCCAGCCTGGATACTGAGAGCCACTGTCACATCCTTCCCTTCCTTGTCTTTGTCTGTTCAAGCTCATCCATGGGGTCTCAGGTTTATGACCTCAGTATTTGTTCACTCGGTCTTCTCATTCCCAGGGAGATCACTGGCCTCTGTTCTCCTCTGGTGACCACTACAGTGAGTTTGACTTCTGTGAAGGAAAGTGACCCTTATGGTGGTTAGAAAGAAGCCTCGTTAGATGCCTGCAGGGGTCACTGGGTGATTGCAAGGATGAGTGACCCTGCTGATGGCTGGGATGGGTGTCTCCAGAGACTCCCACACATGAGCTAGTTGCAAGCTGTGCTGTTTCTTCCTTTGCGTGGTCCTGAGCATCTACACAGACTGTGGGCTGAATGAGAGTCAAAACTTCTAACATAAAGCTGGTGACATAATGGAGGAAAAGGATCTGTTAGGGAGGAGGGGAAGGGACAGCAGGCACTTGACCAGTACTTGAGGAAGAAGACTTTGAAGCATAGAGAGAGATAAATGCTCTCGCTCTCTCTCTCCCTCTGTGTGTGTATTCTGTGAGATATGAGTTGTGGTATGCTGTGAGAGCCTTTCAGATGCCAAAAGCCAGTGAGATCAATGACAATAAAGATAGTTTTTTTTTAACCTGGTGTCATTTGTCATATGAAGTGACCCATATGATTGAGGGACTTGTTCTCTTTGCAGTAACTAATCCCAAGTTAGTACCCAGACCACACAGCTCTAAGTAGATGATTTGTCAAAAGACTCAAGAGAAGCAACTTGTGTCATTTGTGATCCTAATGGCAACACTCTCATGTGTAATCACAGATAGCATTATTAAAAAAGACGTACGTAAACTAGTATTGAGTCGGATCCTGCCTACCTTTGTAATAATTTTAACACTATTGAAAGACTACTATATGAAAAAATTTAAATACATTCTTAAAATAAAACAAACCATTCGCCTTTCTCCCAAAAAGAAACTATGCATGAAGTTGAAATATTTTTATACATAACAAATTATAGATTATCTCATGTGTCACACAGCATCGTGAATCTATTTTAAAGAGTTCTCGTGTGAAGCAATATGGGTACCAGAGAGATTTAGGGTTGGATTTGGTATTGTCTGCCTTTTATGATAGGACTCTGGCTTTGATGTTATTTCCTATCTTCACTGCACTATTTGTGAGATTTCCTAATACTTGGATGCTTTTTTAGTTTTAAATGAATAGTATTTTATGCTGTTGTTGTCTTTTAATTTTAATTTAATTGATGATGTGCCTTTTGCCCTATCTGTCTTTCTGTCTGTCTGTCTACCTGTCTGTCTGTGTATGTGCATGCACCCATGCATGCCCATGTGTCGTGCCACAAGTGAGGAGGTCAGAAGACACCTGGAGGAGTCACTTCTGTCCTCCCACCATGTGGATCCTGGAGACCAGACTCAAGCTATCAGGCTTGGCAGCTTATGACTTCATTTGCTGAGCCATCTCTCCAGCACCTGTCGGGTTTTATTTTAATTATTATTATTTCTAATCTTGTACAATCTGTTTAGGTTTTCCCCCATTCATGTGTCAAAGTTTTTTATACCCCAGGTTATATGTCTCATCATGTAGCCAAGGATAGGTAGTCACTCTTTCAGTAGCAGTTTCTGAATGTTAGTATTTTCTGTTACGTGTGATCAGGCTTTGCCTCCACTGCTGGATATGAATCTGTTTGTTGTTGTTTTCATCATTGTTGTTGATGGTGGTAGTGGTGGTTTGGTTTGGTTTGGTTTGGTTTTTGGTTTTAGTATTTCGATACAGAGTTTCTCTGTGTAGCCCTGACTTTCCTGGACTCACTTTGTAGACCAGCCCGGTCTTGAACTCACAGAGATCACCTGCTCCTGCTTCCCAATTTCTGGGATTAAAGGCATGCACCACCATGGATTTAAGTCCGTTTATTGATGTCTGTGCTGTGGAACAAACTGTCAGTCTCCCCTGAAGCCAGTGTCATCAACTTTAAGAAGCCAGCCCTTCACAAGTCATGGTTTTGTCTTGTTAATAATTTTCTTGGCTACTTCTGTGCACTTTTCTCTTTTATAAAATTTAGGATAAATGTACCAAGTTGACAAAATGATTGTGGCTTGAATTTCATCATGAATGGATTGATTTTATACATGAATTTCTGGACAAATTATAACTGTAATATCAAGACATTTTCTGTTATAATTTCTGAATAACTATTAATACATTGATCTCAGACCTAGTAACCACATACTGTGGAGACAGACTCATTCTGATTATTTGTTTATTAGGAAATTCAAGAAAATTTTACTGCAAGTTTAAATAATCTCTTCTTTATCCTTTTTGGTTTTTCTTTCTTGAATTTCAAGCAGACATCTCTCCCACTAAATTGACCTTCTAGGATCCTTAACATTTTCTATTATTT